CCACCTTCAGGTCGTAGAAGATGATGTCCCCAAGCACCAGGTACACCTTCATGTAGTACAGCGTCTCCTCGTCGAACTCCAGCGGCGAGCTGCAGAGCGAGAGCGCCTTGAGGTAGAAGTGCTCCGCCAGCTCCCCGTGGCCCAGCTGGTGGTGCAGGGCGGCCAGCCGGTGGTAGGCCACCCGCTCGTTCAGACGGTCCCCTGGGGACACGGGAGGGCCACGCGTGAGGACATGCTGCATGGGCGGGGGGGCACAGGCCAATCGGGAGCACCCGGCCAATGCCGTCTCAGAGCTCCCACCAGGCACTTCCCGTCCAGAGACTCAGTTTTCCCACCTGTAAAGTGGGCCGAACCATGCCTGCTCCCCGCCCACCTCGGGGGTGTGGTGAAGTGGAGGGTTTGGAGGCCCCAGCTCTGAGCCTGCACATAGCCACCTGGATGGGGTGCCTTGGTTACTATTTTTGACTAGGAGACCCCAAAGGTCATACAGCCTGCAGACTGGAGGAGTCCACAGCATCCCAGGCCAGCCTCTCTCTCCCCTTCAGCCCCCACCCTCCCGACCTCAGAGGCAGAGGCCAGGGGCACAGGGCTTACCCAGGGTGATGCTGAGCGCCAGGGCCATGTGGGCGAACTCCAGGCCCTCCTGCCGCATGCCCAGCTCTGCCAGCAGCGCCACCAGCTTGTTGCACAGACGAAGCTCCGCCTCCTTGTTCCCTGTGGTCACCGTCAGGGGCAGCGCCCGGTCCTGCCCATGCAGGTGGGTGAGTCAGGCCTCCTCCTGCCTCGGCCTGCCCACACCCAGGACTCTCCTCAGAGCCCCACATAGTCCCTGGGAGCCGCCCACCCCACTGCCCCATTGGATCCTTACGCAGCTCTGTCCCCAAGAGAAAGGTCAGCTGAGAGAGGTCCTGACGCCCTAGGGCCACCTGCCATGAGCAAGCTGGGGTGTGACCTGCAGCTCATCTGTCTACACTGCATAACCCAGACCAGCCTTCCCCTCCTGGACAGTGGGGGCTACCCAGGAGGGTCCAATGCCCCTCTGTGCTCCGAAAATGCCAAATCTGTCTGAACCCTGGGCTGAGCCGCAGGCCAGGAGCTGGGCCGGCAGGAGGGGAGAAGCTGCCCTCCCTGGAGGGCACATGAAGATGGAGCCCTGTGCTTCTCTGAGCCTGTTTCCTCATCTGTGAAATGGGGATGCATGCCCAGGGTTGTTGATGATTGGGGTGCACACTGCAGCCTGAAGCTGCCGGTGACCTTTAAACAGCACTTCCTTTCTCTGTCCCTCTAGGTTGGGGTCGGGGGTTAGGACATGACCATCCCAGACAATGCACGGGGTGATCCTGCCTTCTGGGAGGCCTCTGCCCCACTGCACCTGGGCTTCTGCCCGCCCAGGGACCCCCACTGGGCTCCCGCATCGCCCCTGGGCCCTCACCCTGTAGAAGGACACAGCTTTCTCCCGCTCCCACGCCCCGTTGAAGAAGATGTCTCCGGCTGCCTCGAACAGCTCCAGCCCCAGGTTGGGGTCCCCTGTGTACAGGGCTGCATTCTGTGCCACCTGCGGGGATGCGGGACCTCTCATGAGACCCAGTCTCTAGCAGGGCAGGTGACCATCCCACCTGGTGGGAACCTCCCAGCCACCTCCCAGCCACCTTGGGACCCTTGAGCTGCAAAAGCACGTGAATGGGGGCCCTCTTCCCTCTCACACACTTCAGGAGGGACTGGTCCTGTGCATGTTGAGGTCATGGTCACCCACTTGTGTCCCTTGAGGAGGCTTGTCCAGGTGAGGCCCCGGAGCCAGCAGGCGTGGACTGCTGAGGAGCTGGGCACAGAGTTCAGAGCTGGCCCCGAATTCCATGGCCTGCTCCAGGCTCACAGGGGTCCACATGCTGGCCCCTTTGCCTCCACTACTTTCCCTCTGTACGCTTAGCACCCCTGGTGGCATGTCTGCCCGCCTGTCCCACCAGAGGACTAAGGCTGTCAGCTTCTCCGCTGGGTCCTGGGTCTGGCACAATGCCTGCCACATAGTAGGTGCTCAACAAATACAGCTGACTGAATGAGTGGACTAGCCCCTGCCTGCCACCCAGACACACCCTACTGCTTGCAGTCCCCAAACCTGCCACCCTCCTGTGCGTCTTACTCCTGGAATACACCCTCCTCAATGGGCACCGGCCCCCACTCATTGCAGCTCCAACCAGCCTCAGTGACCCCAGACGGATAGAAACTTACCCTCTGGCTCCTCTCTGCACCCCGATTCCACCACAGCCCCAGGGCCCCAAGCCAGCATTGTCTGAGGGAGTCGCCTTTCCCCGCAGCCACAGCTCCTGACCTGGGAGCCTCTGCCCGGCCCAGGGGGGTTCACAGCAGGCTCTCAAAAGGGAAAAGCCTCCCAGGGACTGCGGGCCTCCCAGCGTCCCCCGCACCTGGATGTACAGGTCCACCAGCTCCCTCTGCTGGAGGAGGTAATAGATCCTCCCGGCCTGCAGCCAGGCGTAGGCTTCCTTCTCCTTCTGCTGGAGGTCGATGAAGATCCCCAGGCTGCGCTTGGTGTAGTCCAGCGCTGATTTGTAGGCCCTGAGTCAGACAGGATGCTCAGGACGAAGCCCCCAGGCCGCCGGCGCATGGGAGGTGCCAGGCTCTTCCCAGGGCAGGTCGGGTGACAATGGGCCTGGACTGTTGGGAGTGGGGACAGACCCTGCCCCTCCCAGGCGGGTGGGAGAGCCGCGTGAACACGGGCTGCACAGCTCCCGTGGCAAAGATAAAGGAGGCTCTTTGGAGGGAAACATGGGCGTGGCTGGGAGGGGCGCCTGTCCCATCTCCGCCCGCCTCCCACAGGCGCCTGACCTCCCCGGGTGCAGCAGGAAACATCAGCACTGGGCAGAAATTTAGAGATTGTCTAGGCCAGAGGCTCAAGAGCCACCCCGAGGGCTGTAAAATGCAAATGGCAGGGTGCTGCTCCCCAAGTTTCTAATTCTGGGGTGAGGCCTGGGAATGTGCATTTCCAGCAAGTCCCTGGTGTTGTGGATGCTGCTGGTCCAGGGGCCACTTTGAGAAGCACTGATCCAGGGCACTGGCCCGTTGGTTATGCTGTGAAACTGAGGCCTGGGACTGGCCTGCCAAGCTCTGTGGAAGCCGGCTCCTTCCTGCTCTCCGTGAGCCCCACCCCGAGGGGCACGCTGGTGACGATGCCAGGCCCTGCATGCTGCCTGCTCTGGGTGTCCCTTTCCACACCCGGGGAGGAAGCTCAGAGTGGGCTTCACGAGGGACACAGGACCCCGAAACCCTGGGGGAAGCTGGTGGCGAGAATCCTCCGAGCACAGGTGGCTGCTTCCCTACGGGAGCTGAGCTGGTAGGAGCAGACTCAGGCAGGCACAGGGCAGCTTACAGAAGCCACCAGGGCAGAGAGCAGAGCCCAGAGACACAGGCTCTGCCTCCCCTGGGAGTTGTGCAAACAGGGGGGCTGAGGACAAGTGTCATGGGACTCCCTGTGTCATGGGCATTAATTAGTGCGACCCCCAAGGCAATGGTCCCCAAGGAAAGGCCCCCCCGGGAGGCTGCCCAGCGTCCTCGTGACCCTTACGCTTCGTGGGGCCGGCGCTCACCGCTCAGTGCCCAGGGAAAGGTAGAGCTGGCTGATGGTCTCCAGGAGCTGCCCCTCCAGCGCCTTGTCGGCCACTCTTCGGGCCAGCGAGAGCTGGAACTCATGGTAGACCACGCACTGGGCCTTCCTGGGCCTGACCGTGCTGTAGAAGTGGCACAGCCGCTGGACGGCTCGCAGCTGGCCTGGGCAGGGGGACACAGGGAGGAAGCCACCGTCACTGACCGCAGCCCTGTGTGCGGGGCTCACGGGCCCCGGCTGCATGCCTGCCTCTCCCACACCCCTGTGAGCTGGGGCCATCGCAGGCTGTACACTGAGCTCAGGCAGGCCAGGTCACCTATTGGACGTCACACAGCGACGAGCACATGGCGACGGGGCCAGGCAGGGCAGGCATGGGTGCCCGAGAGACGGCACTGCCCACTTTCACAAGGCCCAGGCCTGCGGTCCTGGCCAGGCTCTCCCAGGGCACCAGGACGCTGTTTCCACAGCTCCTTCTGGTCGACAGCTCCTCATGTTGAGCTGCAGGGCGGGACGCCCACACCCCTGTGTGGCAGGGGGGCAAACTGAGTCCAAAGCTGAGTACCGGCCCGCAGTGGAGACAGGGTTCAAATCTGGCCTCCGGCATCCAGGAGCCAAAGCTCCATCAAGAATCCAGGCTTCCAGCCTTGGCCAGTGTGGCTCAGGGGTCGGAGTGTCGGCCCACGCACCAAAGGGTCATGGGTTCGATTTCTGGTCAAGGGTAGGTTCCTCAGCTGCAGGTTCCCTGCCCGCCCTGTGCAGGAGGCAACCAGTGAATGTGTCTCTGTCACATGGATCTCTCTCTCCCCCTCACTGCCCCCTTCCCTTCTACTCTGAAAAGCAATGAAAAAAATATCCTCAGGTGAAGATTAACCTCCCCCCCCAAAAAGTGGACAAATCTTTAGCCAGACGGACCAGGAAAAAAGAGTGACGATGCCAATCTCTCAAGTGAGGAGTGAGAGGGACACTAATGACTGGGGACACCGGCTGCACAGGGTGAGGGGACGGGCGCCGAGCACTGTGCACCGCTGTATATGAACAAGTTAGAGGAAATGGAAAATGCCTAAAAGCACACAAACGACCGAAACAGCCCAAAAAAGGGCCCAGAGCAAGCACGGGGTGACCCTGGGCACCACCCCAGCCCTCGGTCTCCTCTCTATTCAATATGGGGGTAACAACATGATCCCCAGGTCCCCGCAAACTCTGAATCTCCGAGTGCCCCGGGGGCCCCATAGGAGATTTCTCAGAGGCCTACAGGGGCCACTGGCGAGCACCACCTGGACCTCCCCGAGGCCACAGGTCCCTGGACCCCCAGCTCTTGGTTCTTCCTGGAGATTCAGAGGGCCCTCTGCCGGTCTCAGTGAGTGTGCTACAGCCCTCGGTGGCTCCCCAGTGCTCTCAGGGGAAATGCCAAACCACAGCCCGGTTCTCCTGCCCCTGCCTAGGCCCCCAATCGAGGTTCTCACCACCCTTCACCTGTCCCACCCAAACCCTGCACCTCAGTGCACAGTCCACCTCACTCACCCAAGGGCCTTTGCATAAGCTGCACCTTCCCCCCACCCCATACCTCTCCCATGACTGGTTAGCACCCTCTTTAACCCGCAGGTCCCAGACTAAACAGCCTTCCCTGATCCATGTGTCAAGGGCAGGCGCTGTACATCACCACGTTGAGGACTCACTTTGTGGTTCTCGTGGCCTGAGCATTGGTTTCCCATGAGAACCGCTAGGGTCCTGTTTGCATGTGGAGCCTTGCACAGAGCCCAGAGCCCAGAGCCCGGAGGCTGGTGTCCCTGCACAACAAGGGACTGTTAATAAAGCCAGCTGTTCCTTGGCCCTGGGAACTGCCCAGCGCCCAGGAGGTGACTGGTGTGCAGGGCCATCCGCTGCCCAGCAGATGCACCAGCTAAATCACCCAGAGTTCAAGGCCCACACAGCTCCTCTCTGCTAGTGCCCAGGCTAGGGGACTGCGGTGCTCGAAGCAGGATGCACCAGGCGGACTGAGATGAACCTGCGGCCCTGCTGGTATCTGGCCCAGCGTGGGAAGACCCTTGAGCACCTGCACACAGCTGCGGGTTTCCACTGCTCGCTGTTCTCGGTGGTGGAAAAACCGCCGCCCACCAGTGACTCTCACACCCCAGGTGCGTTCTGACCAGAGACGAAAGAAAACACATTCTTTCCAGGAAGCCGGAGCAGGGGTGGGTGGCACTTACTCTCCAAGTGGTTCATCTCCACGGCGACCAGAAAGGCCCACTCGTAATAGCACTTGCCCTGCTGGGCCAGGGCCTGGAGGGTGTACAGGTGACCCAGCTGCAGGAGCACCTGCGTGAAGTCCTGGCCACACTCGCCGCTGGGCAGCCGAGAGAACAGCTTCACGGCCTCCAGGAGGTAGTGCTGGGCCAGCCCCCTGGCCCCCGCCTGCAGGCACAGGGCCCCGAAGTTGGCCAGGACCACTGCCTGGTTCTGCAGCTGGCCCAGGCCCTTGGCGATGCTCAGGGCGCGGTAATAGCCCTCGGCCGCCTGCCGGGTCCTGCCCGTCCTCTTCAGGGCGATGGCGATCATGTTGGCGATCACTCCCTCCTGGTCCACAGTGGCCACCGCTGCATCCAGGACAGACTGCAGGATGTCCACGGCCACCGGGCTCTGTCTGTGTAGCATGTGCAGCCAGGCGAGGGCCACCAGGTGGTCCACAACCAGGCGGCTGCCCATCTCAGCGTCGGCTTCCACTGCCCGCATCATGAAGGAGATGGCCCGGCCGTGCTGCCGGTGGTGGCTGTGCAGCTGGGCCAGGCTGGCATAGAGGGGACCGCGCCATGCCAGCCTCGTGCCTGGGGCCAGGGAGGCCAGCGCTTGCCTGAGGTAGTGAGCGATCTGGGAGGGGAGGCGGTGGGGCTGGGGTGCGTTCTGCAGGACCAGGTCCACGCTCCTGAGGGAGGTGGCCAGCGAGCCCCGAGTCTGCAGCGAGGCCACCTTGGTGCAGCTGAGCGCCAGGTGAGGCAGGCACTTCCTGCTGTAGACATCTGCCAGGAGCAGGTAGCAGTCTGCGGGCCACACAGCGTCCGGGCGCCCCAAGGCCCTGTGCAAGAGCAGCAGCCTCTCCAGGAAGGGCAGGGCGGCCTCGGGCTGCTTGAGGCGGACCTGGTGCTTGGCCAGCAGGAAGCAGGCGCGCGCCTCGGCCTGCGGACTCCGGGCCCCGATGGCCCTCCGCAGAGCGTGCCTCAGGAGCTCCGCCTCGGCCTCCGTGCCACAGACCTGGCCGGGCGACCCCAGGAGCAGGGCGCAGGCTTTGGGCACCACCTGCCCACACTTCTCCCTGTTCTTCTGCTTCAGGTGGATGGTGGCCAGGTTGGCATACAGGGCTACTACCAGGAAGAGGTCGCCGAAGTGGCCCCCCAGAGCCCCTAGGGCCTCCTCGAAGTACACCCGGGCCTGGGACAGCTTGAGTCTCCGCACGCACAGCCGCCCCAGGAGGAAGCAGAGCCTGGCCAGGGCCATGGGGCGGTCCGCCTTCTTGGCCACCCCCCGGGCCTGCGCCAGGCACCCGGCCAGCTCCTCCTCGTCGGTGAAGCCACAGAACAGGGTGCTGAGCCCTGGCAGGGAGAGGTCGTACAGGCCACGGAAGCTGGCCTCGTACCCGGGACTGTCTAGGAACCGCAGCAGGGGGCCCAGGGCCTCCGGGTCCGCCCAGTCGTCCTCCACGTCCAGGGAGAAGGAAGGCTCCTCGGTGGCCGGTGAGCTCACACTGCTGGACACTGTGTGGAGACCCCAGGACACTGGCTCCTCGGGGCAGCTGTGGCAGGACTTACATTGCTGTAGAATGTCCTTCACCTTCTGCAGGGTCTCATGCGGCTCTGGGTGCAGGCCAGGTGGAGGCATTTCTGCAAGTCACCAAAACCCCAGGTGGGTTAGAGTCTGATCTGAGTCCAGGATGGGACAGGGACATTCCTCCCCGGGCGCAGTGCCCCTGTGGTGGCACTTGGCAGACACTGCCTCCCCAGGGAATGCCAGCACCCAGCGCACAGTGGGCGCTCAGCGCACAGTGGCAGCCCTGCGCACAGTGGGAGCTCTGTCATATGGTTATAGGGAGAACACAGGTCCTTTGGGTCAAGTAACCACATGGCCTTCTTTGCTTAATTCTTTCCTGTTCAAAAGCAGTTTCAGGAGACTAGTGTCCTAGCCTTGTGACCACTCAGACCCCCTTTCCCTTTAGAAAGATTCAAAGCCACTTAACAGGGCATCCATTCAGTGCTGCAACTGCCCACATGTGAATGTCAGCACCTCAGGCCTCCAACCAGGTGCCGGCACCCCTGTGACATCCTCAAGAGCCAATCAGGGGAAGGGATCAGCCTGAGCTCAAAAGCCACCCACAGAACTGAGAGAACCAGCCACCCACGGGGGGGCAGAGGAAGGTCCCTTCCTAGCCTGGGACCACTTCGCGCAGGAAAGAGCGGGGCCGGCTCCCAGACCCCCAGGCTCCACCTTCACCTCAGCTGGTCTGAGAATCTAAAGGGTTATTTTTAATCTAAAGGGTTAAAAATAAAAGCAAGGGCCAGGAGCTGGAGGAGCTGGGGACACCCGGGCTGTTGGCTTTGGAACAGCCCGAACCCAAAGGCTAGCCCCGCGTCAGAGCAAACAGCTCCGTTTCCTGTTGGGAAACAGCGCTTAGAGGGGCATGTGTCTGGGAGCAACAAGCCAGCAAAGGCTCCTCTGTTTCACATTCACACGTAAAAAATGTTCTGAACGAGCGGTGTCCTTACTAGTCTGCGAAGTCCGGGAATAGGAAAAAGAATTGGGTGTGGTTCAGTGGAAAGCATCCGACTCGGCCAGACGTTTGGTTTGCTGAGAAAACGCCCCCGTCTGGCGCGGCCGATGGGCTCTGCCAGGTGTGTGCTCCCCTTGGCAGGGTGTGAAATGCCCCCTCCTCCAGGAAGGCGAGCCTGCAGCCCTCATCCCTGTCCTCACCCGGCAGAGGCTCACGGGACGACCTTAGAACAGCCCCGGGGGCAGGGGGGCTTCTCACCGACACCCCAAGGTGGCCCTTCCGTGTTAGTGCTTCACGGATCCTGCTCTCAAGGATCCTCAAAGGGACCTGGGACATTATGTCCTGGGCCGTCCCCCGTGCAGAACCCCTGTTCAGGAGGAGGGGCTCTCCCTGGACCGGCCCCTCTGGGAAGGAGCAGACCCTCGAGGGATTTACTTCTCCAGCATAAGCTCCAAACTCAGCACCCGAGCGCTTTAACGCAGAGCCCGCGGGAGCGTCAGCTGCTCTGGGGGCTGAGAGCGGCCCAGGGCTGGGCGTGGGCTCAACGCGGAGGGGACACCGCCTTATCTGGGGACAGGGCGGGGGGCTGCCCCAGTGGAGGGAGCTCTACCTGTAGCTCATCCAGCCTCCAGGGCAGGACTCCCCTCCCACCGGCCGGCTCCCATGGAGGAGCGAGGTCTATGACCGGCACCCACGGGGGCCGGCTCCGAGGCCTCTGCCTGGCGTCACCCCTGAGGCCCACCGTGACCAGAGGAGCCCCGTGCCACATGGGAGGAACCCACCTTGTCCTTCTGGCTGCTCAGCCTCAGCTTCCCCTAGTCTGTCTGCAAAGGGGGAGGAGAGAAGTGTCAGCCTCCAGCAGTGCCCCTGGGACCCAGGGCCGTGTCGTGCTGAGGTGGACACCAGGATGGTGATACTCCCAGCTCCAGCACTGGTGAGGGGCAGTGGGGCTCATGGGACCCATGGGTGAGGGGGCCAGAAGCCGCGCTTTCCAGGGTCCACCCCCCCCCC